ACTTTTCATGCCCATGAGTATTTGTTTTATATAGTTGGGTGCACTAGTGTTTGGTGGATAGATATTTATGATTGTCATCTCTTCCTGTTGGATTGTTCACTTTACAAGGATGTAGGGTCCTTCTTTGTCTCTCTTAATCAATGTTGGTTTGAAATCTACTTGATCTGCCAAGAGGATAGCTACTCCTGCTTTTTTTTTTGGGGTTCCTGTCACATGGAGTATTGTTTTCCACCCTTTACCTTTCAGTCTATGAGTTTCCTTTTGAATTAACTGTGTTTCTTGTATGTGGCATATTGTTGGATTTTGCTTCTTGACCCATTCTGCCAGTCTATTTCTTTTGATTAGTGAATTGAGATCATTAACATTGATGGTTATAACTGACACATATTGACTTATCATTGTCATGAGTCTTTCTTTTTGTTGGATTTTCCCCCTTGGTGTTTAATTTCTTGTAGTGCCTGATGGATTCATTCTGCTGGGATTCTTGGGGTTGTGATCCTCATTGTCATTTCCTAGGGTATTGTCTAAAACTTTTTGGAGTGGTCTTTGATATTCATTAAGTTCCTAAGGTGCACTTGGTTATGAAAATATTTTATTTCTCTATCAATTTTGAAAGACAGTTTTTCAGGGTACATCAATTTGGTTTGGAAGCTGTTTTCCTTTAGGGCTTGAAATACCTCACTCTGAGCTCTTCTTGCCTTGATGGTTTGCATTGAAAAGTCTGCTGTCATTCTGATGGCCTTTCCTTTGTATGTGATTTGTTTCTTTTCTCTAACTGCTTGTAGAACTTTGTTTTTCTGTTGGGTTTCTGGAATCTTAATAATTATATGCCTATGTGTAGATTTTTTTTGATCAAGGCTATTTGGAATCCTATATACCTCACTTATCTGTATGTCAAGTTCTTTTCCCCTGCTTGGGAAGCTTTCTGCCATGACTTCTATGAACAGTTTTTTTTTTATGTCATCTGCACTCTCTCCTGTTTCTTCTTTGACTCCAATCAGTCTTATGTTATTCTTCTTTGCATGGTCTAGCAGCTACTGCATTGATTTCTCATGGTCCCTTACTATTTTAAAGAAATTTTTCCTTTCCTGGTCACTATTTACAATCTTATTTCTTTATGTGAAATTCTGTTCTCACATTGGTTCATTCTGCTGCATATACTTTCAATGGAGTTTTTAATCTCCTGGAAATCTATTTGCATCTGTTTTATGGATTCCATTTGTTTCCTATGT